ACAATGAAGCTGTTACATTTAGTGATGATCTTCGGTGTGCTCGCGTGTAGTTTTGCATCTCCTACACCGGTAGAAGACGAAAATCAAGGTAAGTTTAAAATAATAATTTATTTAGTTCAATGAAATGAAATAAAATAATGATTTGAATCAGACGCAGATGAAAGCAATCAAGGGAAGTTCTTGAACGTCTTCTGCACCCCTGCATGGTGTCGCAGTTTCTGTGTGAGGCAAGGATATGCAGGATGCGTTTGTACCGGCCTTCATTCATTTCAGTGTGTCCGATAGAATCAGATAACATGAAATAAAAGTGCAACCGATTGATTAAAATTAAAAATTTCAGACAATAATGTTTTGCGTATTATTTTCCCCATAAATTACGAAGATATTATAAGTGATTATATTTATTTATATTATTCTAGCTTTTGCCCGCGACTTCGTCCTGGTAGTGTATAATAAAAATGTAATTTGTTTTTACTTTCTTATTCTGGACATAGTTTGTGTCAATTATATCAATAAGATTCGCAATTTTATTTTAAAGAAATTAATTAAATAAAGAATTGCTAATAATGCACTTCGGCGTGCTATCTCGGATTCAACCATTTAACTATAACTATGATTGAATCGCAATGCCAACTTTTATTCTATTGAAAAAAGCTGTCTTTAAGGTTTTCCCAGCAAATGTTCAAGTTTCTCTCGCCGTAAAAACCATCCTTGGACTTTAACAAACATTTTAAAAAAGAATTGGCCAAATTGGTCCAGGCGTTGTTGAGTTATATGCTTACCAACACATTTTGCGATTCATTTTTATATTATAGATTATATTTATTAATATTTTATAAAACAAATAAAAACATAATGTAGAAAAAAGTAGGTATAAAATATTAAAGCTGTGGTTAAGTTATTGGAATGTCCAGAGTAGAATCAGAAGTCGTCACTNGTTAAGTTATTGGAATGTCCAGAGTAGAATCAGAAGTCGTCACTGGTAGGTGCCAAATAAAGACATTTGAAGTTGCATGCTCAACGACGGCAGTTACAGACGCCATCGATGCATCTTCCACCTTTGTACCCTTTTTTCAGGCAATGGCCGGCGCAGGCAGCATGATTCAATGAACCGAAGGGAGTGTCAATGCTCAATAAATCGCAGGTTACTCTACGAACTCTTGATAATACCAGGTTTCCTACAAAAAAAATTAAACAAAAAGTTATTTTAACGCAATTAATAGAATAGTGATAGTTATTATTATAATACATTATATATGCTATATATGACTTATGGTATATTATTTACTAGCGACCCGCCCCGGCTTCGCACGGTTGCAATACTGATACTAAATACACTACAGAAAAACTGTGAACGTTGTATATAAAAACATAGCGGCCCGCTACGGCTTCGCACGGGTTT